ATGTTTTCACAAGAGGAAGAACATCTTATTCTTAACCTTCATCAAATTCTAGGAAATAGGTATTTTTCTTCTTATTTTGTTCATGAAATTTATCTACAAATTTCTCTTCTTTCTTTAAAAGGTATAATAGGCATATTACTCCTTTAGTCCGTACTGAATTGTCGTGTTAACAGTGTAATTTGAACTGCTCCGGAGAAAGATGGTACATTTTCCCACCTAAATAATTAAATTACATACATACATACTTCTTCCGTACGAGTTCAATTGTCACATTACTCTAGTCTAATTACATACACTATCAAAATGACAACTAATTGTGGACGAACAAGGAGTGTGTAATAATTTTAAAAGTTGCAATAGATTATTGAGTATGGAATTATTGGACATCATGATTATTTTCATAACAAAATAAATGGGTATTCATTGATTCTAGTCATTAAATAGTAAAAGAAACTCAAACTTATTTCATCAAACTAAATTGTGAAATTATTTGTTGATGAAATTATGAAATTGTTATACAGGTGGGCTCAAATAGCATCACAATTGCCTGGAAGAACAGACAATGAGATCAAAAACTTTTGGAACTCATGTCTAAAGAAGAAGCTAATGAAGCAAGGGATCGACCCACAAACACACGAGCCTCTTTCAACTCAAATGCAATCGAGTAACAACATGAGCACCAGCAGCAATGGCTTCAGAAACACAGCTGAAAACCAGAAAATTGCGCGAGCTGTCAAGATGGAACAATCCTACCCATTCTGCAACACTGCAGAAGTAACCAACACAAGTGCAACAGTTATCAGTAGTTCATTCTCCTCATCATTAAACTCCCAATTCAGTCTATTACAACCTGCAGCTTTTCTTGGTTCGTCGTCTCAGAGTTATCTGAGTCTGCTTAGGCCGATGATTGAGTCCCAGTTACAGTCACAGTCGCAGCAGCAGTATATGTTGCAGCAGAGCTGCTTCAATGAAAATCTGGAGACGGAGAATTTGGGGTCAGAATCTGTTGTATTCAATGAAGGAAAAGAGTGTTCGAGTAGCAGTTCAAATAATAACAATAATATCATGACTAATTCTGATAACAGTGCAAGATTTTCATGGGAAAACAGTACTAATGATCAGCAGAACAAGTTTGATCAGTCAGAAATTTTCCAGTTTCCTGTTAATTTTGGTGGGTTGATAAAAATGGAAGCAGTTAGTCATGATCAAACAAGTCCATGGGAGGAAGATCCACTCAAGTCGCTTTCGATGCCCGAAGATTTAGTGACAACAGCTGCAGGAAACCTTGATTATTTCTTACAGCAGATTTCATGAAAGTGAACTAATTAACTTACTGCTGCTACTAATGATCATTTCGTTTGTCATATCATGTCATTCTGTTACACTTGATCAGCCTTGCTTTCCGGTTATGCGCTTGGGCTGCCCATTTCAGTTCGACGGGGACTATATGGGCACACGCAAATGCGGTATGTTAGATCCCATGTCGACCTTAATGGGTCTTAACCTCTTATTTTTATTCGATCAATTGGTTTTGGGATGGAACCTCGCGCTACCTATAGCAGCATAGGTAAATAGAGCTTCAGTTGGTGTGCAACAAGTATACCACTTGTAGAATATACAGTACTCATAGAAAAATTAGGGATGGAAAAAAAAAAAGATTGTGATGATTTTTTATTTTTGTGTGGTTAATCATTTTGTTATTCTTTCTTTATTTCTTTGTCAGTTTGATGGGTCATTTTTAATTTTTTTGGATTTTGACATTTTTAATTAGTGGTAGTCTCAAGGTATTATTGTGATTGATTGATTAATTTCTGCATTCTTTTCAGTGGGAAATATGGTGAATATAACAGTGTTTTTTTATGATTTTTTTTTTCTAATGTAAAAACTGATATTTTGAGTGAATATAATTTTGTGGCCCATGTAAATATAAATCTTTGCCTCCCAAAAAAATGTGTAACAACTTAACAAGTCTTAAATTGAGTGTAACAACTTAACAAGCCATTTTGTGGTCCATATATGTCTCTGTCTCCCATTAATTAACTGTTGAGGAATTGGTGATTTTCAAATATCTAGTACTCATGTACTTTCACTTATTTTCTTTTTTAAGGATTAAAATATATAACAACTTATTAAATATATATAGAATTTTCTTAAAAAAAAAAAAAAAAAGCTCTATCTTCTCGTCTATCATTGATTTTTATTCATTTCTAATAATCTTTAAGGTCGGTAATTGATGTTTTTGATATTAATTGACATAATTTTGTTTCTTACTTATATTATTAGTAATCACAACTTGTTTAAATAAAAAAAAGGCATATAAACACGATTAAGTGCTTAATAAGTGAGACGCTTTTTCTTTTAAGACTCGTAATGGTAATAATGATTTATAAATAAGGTAATGCAAAAGTCAAATGATCTGACAACCTCAAAAAGATAATGAGTAATCAAAACCTTCTAAAAAATCACCTTCGCCTAATCCCGGTGTAGGCGGAGTGGGGAATATAGAGGGGTTGTGTCATAGGGTTGATAAATAAAATCAACCCTAAAAGTGAAATTGAATTGATGGTGTAATTCTGTATATATAGTTAATGAAAAAAGGGATAGAAACTTTTTTTAAGAACTTTAATCCGTTGCTTGAAATTGGGTATACAAAAGTGAATATAGAGTGGTATATGTGCCTAGCTAAATTAAAGTTTGATTTTTTGTCCGCTGACCTGTTCTTAAGAATGTTATACAGTTTTTGATCTGGCTTAGCTTTTACTTTTGGTGTGCTTAATAAATTAATCCTTAATTAATTGCTGCCCTTTTTTTTAATAATATTATTTAAATTGGTCTTAAAAAGTTGAACATGTAAGTTTTTCATTTGAAATTGTACGTATGATATTATTTGGGAGTTTTTTATTTTGTGATTATTGAAATATTTTACGAAGTATGAACAATTAATCACCCGAAAATCTGAAATAGCCCTTCATTTATTCATGATACATACAATATAGTGAGTGCATATACCACATAAAATAGTCAAGCTTAGACACGATTTCATAATAAAAACAATAATTAATAGTCCACGTAAAATGTCCACTTGACTTATATGTTCATTGTTTATTGTCATTATTTACAAAGTCGAAAAATTAGCCTGATTATGTGTAGATTATTCAATGCTCCCTCTCACATTGGCACATATATATTGGCTCACAAATACATCTTTTTCTAACAATCTACGCGGAAGGTTAGCAAAAAATTTAAAAAACTAGAAGTTTATAAGATTATATTCTAAAGTTTCATCTTTTTTGAATTGTATCTTATCATCCAGAGTATTAATTTCAGCCGAAAAATCTTGTTTTTGAATGAAAGAAGTAATACTTATACAAAGTGTATCTACTATTCATCTACTACGAAGTATATAAATAAGAGTTTTATTTTTTTTTCTAATGTTCAACACTTCAACCATAGCAATCCAAATCGCTAATCTTTTTAACTTGAGCATTTCTATTTTATCTATTTATTTATTAGCTATAACCTTCAATTAAATAACTAATTGCCTACGAGTACTATTTAAAGAGTGTTAATAAAAACCTGCTCATATTACATTTATTTTTTAATAAATCAAATATTCATGAATTCATTGCAATGAGAATATATCCCGTACTTCAGCACTAGTGCATTCTAGTTCTAATAACTTCAAAGTCGTACTCATTGGCACCCCACTCGAAAAGTAATTAAGAATACATTCTTCTTTACAAGGATTAAGTGTAAATTATAATGCCAGCTTGGGTTGTGTACCCACTAGCTTGCTTCATTGGAGCAACGACCAATAATTGCTAGACTTTACAATGAAACTTGTATATGTAGCTTCATTTACACCACAAGAATAAGCCGAAAACAGTATCATTAATTCTCATAATAATTGACTCATAATACTTCCTACACAATTAATTAGACAATTAAGAGTGAGGGATAGCTCAAGTGGTTCGAGCTTTCCTCCCGCTTCCAGGAAATCTTGGGATCGATTTTCACCCCCGCCATTATGGTTCTCTAAACACTTAAAAAAAAATTAGACAAGTATAAATTAGGAAGATTAAAAGGGCCAAAAAATTTATTGCGCACGCAACACACAATAATAATGAATATTCATATTGTTTAACTAAAATTGTTAAATTGATGATTGATAATGATATCAAACCGGCATTTTTAAAGAAAATTTTCTACAAAACCAATAAATTGCATAAATGATTTAACGAAAATAACTTATTCATATGTATTTCGAACTGTATTTAGACTTGACAATATCTAATCCAATCCATTCAATTTACAATCGGATAAAATTCACTCGTGTAAAGACCGTCAAATCAATGGTTTGAGGTGAGATACGCACATGGAGGACCAAAGAGATGCGTCCCAATCTCATAGTACTACAAATTATTACAAAGGTCCATTTTATGGAGCTCCTTGCAATCATGAACAACTAGACGACCTTAATTCTTTGGTCCCTTGGTATTTATTCAGAAAACAACAGCACGAGTGTGTGGTTCAAGTCTTGAAGATGCCAACTTCTTATTGAAGTCTTCAAAAAACTGCTTATGAACACAATTATTAATCCCCTTTATTAGTCCTTGTATTGGGTGTCAAATTGTCCTACGCACAAACATATAGTCAAGACTGCATTATCTCTATATTTCTAGTTGATTCGACGTGGATACTCCATATACAGAATACTCCCTCCGTTTCCAAAATTTCTTCACGTAGCATCTTTAGGGAAGTAGGGGAATGCCCAAATTGAAAATTGTGAAGATATTTAGAAACGAAAGAAGTACGAGTATCATATATTCGTACCCATAACAATAATTTCAATACTCCATATTCATAATTTCTATTGGATTATCCTAATTAAAACAAATAAATAAGGACAGATTTTATTTTTTCTTTAAAAAAAATTGTCATTCTATGTGACAGTATGACACAGCCTCCATAAGGAAAACACAGCAGAGGTCACTTTTCAGTTATCCCCACACAAAGGCACTGTAAGTTTCCTTACAGAGCTTAACCACATGATTCTGCCAATGAAGTTGAAATGGAGCAGTAAGTTTCAACTTCAGGTTACTGCCATAAAAATGCCTTGAAACAATAATAAAGCCAAACAGTTCATCAAGTCATATTCACCATTCACCAAAACTAAATACATGGGTCTACCATCAAATTTGCTGATGGCTACATTCCAAGTAGCACCTAGCTTAGACTACCCCTCTCTCCCACCAACCTAGTACCGCCTTTTCGACTAGTTGCTGGACCATTTTTCTAGCAAATATACATAGAGCATCATTATGTTACTTAAGGAAAAAAAAGAAGATGCTATGAATTTGGCCTGGCTTTGAAAAAGATCCCAAGAAAAAATGTAGTACAAAATTCAAAGATGACTACTCAAGCAAATATTTTTTTTCCACTAAATGATTGATTGCCTTCTATTGCCTCGTCTTATAACCCTGTTAGTTAGGCAGCAACAGCTTTTCTGTACCAACAAACGTTTCAAAAGTTTGGTTAGCATTGGAGTTATGGCGGAATGCCAAAGACAAGAGTCGGACCTAACTGATGCAGTGAGTTACCTTGGGTGAAAGAGGCAGAGCTTACCATATCCATCGTACGAGATTTATAAAGATATCACGCCATTTGAATGTTTACTATATTCTGCTTCAGAATTCATTTACAACTTAATTACAGATCTCTTGCAGCTTATATGTCATTGTAACATGCTCTGGCCTGTCGGTCTGTTAAAATTACAATCATAAAATTGCGCAGTCTATTAAAGTGAAAATGAAAGCCTCTCAACTAGTTTCTCAACCAGTTTAGATAAGCAAGGGAGTAACATTCAATTATCTGGGGAAAACAATATAAAATCTTAAGCACGAGTACGACTAGCCATGCATTAGCTGCAAAATTACCATCCGAAGCTGACATGGAAAAAGGAATAATTACCATCTTACTCTGCACAATAGGAATGAAATGGATGAGATAATGTTACACTATAACCCAGCAGCAGTTAAGATATTACTGTCTAGCTAACAGTTGTCACCACTTCCTAGAGTAGCTTCCAGCCAAAGGCACCCTCAAGTCCTCAACAACCACCCCTAAATTAACAAGTTGGATGTTTAATGCACATCTGAAGTGCAAACCAAAGTATAACTAACAAGAAAGCATCCCGCATCAGCATTCCAAATAGAATGAAAAATTGAAGGGGAAATAAATCGATTTCATCTTCAGAATGCAACTCTGATATGGTTTTAATAATGGAAGATAGCCAAAAACAACACTGTCACGGATTTCTTTAAAACAAAGGGGATGCAAGTCCCCTGCCTTTCCCTTTCAAAAAATAAAGAATTGATGCGTCTCACCAAGAAACTTCTCCTCACACTGCTTTTATCGCAAACCATAAACATCAAGCAGTAATAGTCCATTAATTGGGATTAGCAGAAAGTTCCTTGTGCCAAGAAATAATTAACACCCTCTCTGTTACTTAAACAACATATAAAAAAAAACACAGCCAATGCAAAGATGCTTTAAGAAAATTATGCCAAAGTTTATATTTTTTACCTTATTCTTCATATAACTTTATAAAAAAACCTAAAAAGGTATGGTGTCTACGGAGGGTAAGCTTCATACAAAGTAAGCAACTAAGGGAAAAAAAATATGGAGTATAGTTAAATTGTAATCAATAAAAACTAAAGCACAATGCAAACTCTAAAAGCCTGGTTTTAATTAAAAAGTGTAATTAAAAATTAAGGTTTGTAAACGTCAGCCTCATGCAAACTCATTTCTTGCTCATTTGGGTAAAAGGACACATCATCTATCATCTATAAAAATTAATTAGAAGATACGTATCTTTTCAAAAATATCATCATTTAGATCCAATGCCAAATCCTCTGAATTATCCCTATTGGTGAAGGTTGCTTCTATTCATACCCAACAAAGCTGTACAAGATTCATAAGCAAATTTTAACTTTGGAATAAAAAAGTTAAATAAATTGTCTTATTAAACTGTCAGTTATTTTTTATCTACAGTTAAATGCTAGTTGAATAGTCCTACTCCTTACAATTGAGCTGTATTTCAAGAATGGACAAGCCATTTTCCTTATTATGAACATAAATGGCCATAGATTCAAAACTGGCCTAGATATTCATGTATTTAAGGTGGCAAGCTGAAAATGAAATGCAGCCTCCTTCATTTAACACCAAATCTTAGATCTAAGGATATAAAAAGCACGATAAAGAGTAGGAACCAAAGCAAACCTCATACACTTTGAGCACAACAGCCTTGGAAGATCGCAGGTATCATCATTCAATGTTGGATCCAAGCCTGCATGAAAAGACAAGTGATAGTGTTTCTTGCAGGGTAGATACTGATGAAAGACAGAGAAATGAGGACATTACAAACCTAGTACTTCAAAAACTGTACAGAACAATTATGACCACTGACGGTGCTTTCGCACAGGGAAGCAATTATATGATGGGCTGAAATTTTATTATTAGATATAGAAACAAGGAAATAAATCATGCAATAAATAGAACAGTGAAACACACACAATCAATCAGTCATAAGCAGCAGATATTCACTCTAAGGTGATACAAGTAACCAAAAAACTAAGGATAGACTTACATATGGTCTTTAGGCTCTTTACCTAACAATTCAGCATCAATTGAACTCATTGGTTTGTCTGCATGCATATATATTACTGTCAGTATCATGTAGCGGATAAGAAGCAACTTTGCAATCAGCTTTTCCCAAATTGTATAAGGCTTTTGCAATGAGATCTATAATTCAAAAGTGAAAGAAAACAATGGACAAGACAAAGATAACATAAAAACAAAATAAAAAATGAATCAAGCTCAGAGCAATTCCAATACTCCGTGATTGGTCACATATAACAACCAATCTAGCTGAAAACAGGGGTCTAGAATCGATTGCAACATTGCCAATCTCTCAATTATGAACAAAGAATGCACAAGGACATGAAGGGTGGGGAAAACTTGGCAGATGAATTCATAGCTGGTTCCTTCAACTTTGTGTAGACAGCCTCCCAAGAGTCTAGCAAGAGAATATTTTATGTCAGTCAGACAATGGAAATAGCAAGTGCCAAAATGCTTGACGATGCTTTGCAAAGTTCCTGCTCAAAAAATATTGAAAAAGCCTTCTTCCCTACCTTCCAAGTTCCTATTTCAATTGGGTTGGACAGCAATGTCAAATATTTGTCCGTTAAACAGGATAATAGATAGCCAGGAACAGAAACACACACCGCGAGGTGATCAAATAACAACCCACAAGATTAATATAACACGCTGCACACACCAAAGAATGCAAGTATCACGAACTTGAATTTACACAAAGGCTCCATTTGGTTTACAGAAAACATGTTCAATGAAAGATGATTTTCCATAATATATAGTTTATCAAGGGAATACAATATTACAAGCTAATTTTCCTTTGACAGGTTCCTTGCAAAAGTTGTACAATAAAGACAATTGAAAGTTGAACGGAGAGGATGGATGAGAGGAGAGAGCAAGGGAGGTTAAGGCATAGGAAGAAAAATGCAGCTTCCTTTCTTAATAAAGGAAGATGTTTTCCATCCTAGGGACCAGGGAGAACTATTCCCAACCCTTAACAAACCAAATAAAGAAAACGAGAAAACCATTCCCCGAAATAATGTTTTACACCCAAACAAACACTCTACAAGACAATGCTAATTCAGTACCAAGGAGAGAACCTTGAGCAGCAAATTCGGAAATGAAATCTAAGACTCCAATATACGACTAATGCAAGTGTATATAATGAAAAGAAAGGATATCTAGAAATCTAAGAAACGTAGACATCACTGATCAGCTCTAGGAAACTGTTAATAGATATTTGAGAACTAATTCTGGATTGAAAATTTAAATAACTCGTGTTAAAAGTAAATATAGTATTATTAACAACGAAAAAACTCATTTACATCTCTGAAGTCAAAGGCAAAACTGCATTAAGCTTCAACCCTTTGAGCACAAAACTGCAAACTCACTACAAGTTGCCATACAAGATTAAGCAAGCAGAATTTATACTACATTAATTTACCCTCTTGTTTCTGACAAATACAATGTACAAGTCAGGGCTTCAATCCAGCAATGACAAGCACGCAGAAGTCAATCATTAGCCCTTCACAATGATCATACCACCGCAAATGAATGGTGATGAGGATGACTCCCATCTTGATACAACATGAGATGATGTACAGCTCGGGAAAACAAATCTCTTAATTCAGCATTTTGAGCCATCCCAGAGCGAACTGCAGTCTCAAGCGTTTTCAAAGCTCTAGCCTCAGCAAGTTCCTTGCTATTCCCAACATGCATGGACAAGTAGCAGAGCAGAACAAGTCCATGTTTCCTAGAGCGATCACTAACAGCGAACAATTTCATCAATAGAGGAACTCCATTGAACTCAATTATTGTTTTTGAGTGCGCAACACAGTTGTGGTTATCAGGGCAAGCAAATTTTGCCAACGCAATGGCAGCTTCAGTAGCCACATCAACATCCTTATTCCCAAGCTGACTAACCAATGAACTAACAATCCCTGTTTCCTTAGCAGAAAATATCCTCGCCAAACACCCAATTGCTCTAATAGCAGCAATTTTAATATCAGGGATACTCTCCTCCTTAATCACTCTAAGAAGCTGCTCCAAAACTGCTTTAGCAGGTGGAGAACTCGGCTTCCAAGACACTTTCCTAAGGTCGGCATTATCCTCAGCCACTTTCGCAACCTCCATAATGGTCATCAAACAATGGTATTGCAACACCCCTTTCTCAGTTTCAATAATTTTCGACAAACAAAACAACCCTTTAGGCTCAGCAACCTTCTGACTATTCAAGACACTACCTTCACACAATCTCCACAATGCCAAAGCACACACAACCTTAAGCTTAAGCTTAACCTCAGGCGACTCATTCTCTTTCTCCTTCCTATTATAACTACTCCCCCCAACCCTTGAATCAAACGACGAACACGAATGCACCTTACCATAACTATAACTATTACTACCATTACCATGACTATGAACTCTATTATTATAATTTGGATAATTCTTAGCAGCTAATTCCTTTTGAACAATAGAATGAATACTATTCTTACCTCCTCCGCTATGATACCTCTTGTATTCCTCCATATCCACGTCCATGATCAAGCAAGAAATCAACTGCTTCAGCAAATTCTCCTTCCCAAACTCCTCCCTCGCAATCGAATCGATTTCCGCCACTCTTGCAACCAATTCCGCCACTGCTATCTGCACATTCATACACGATTCCGCAAACACTTGCACCATGATCGGGATCCCGCCTTCAGCAGCAACAATCCTAGTCCTCTCTACCTCATCTACCAACATATACAACGCCGTTGCAGCCGCAATCTGACCATCTGGAGAACCTCCTCCATCCTTCAATAGTCTCAACAATGGCGAAACTGCTCCTTCCTCCACAATCAACTTCCTGTACCTCTGATTATCCCCTGCTAACGAAGCCAAATGATTCGCCGATTCAATCCGATCCTTTACCTGGCGATTAACCTGCAACGACGCAATATAAGACCAAACCCAAGCAATAATCGGATCATTGCTCCCAATAGGAGGAATCGCAAGATTCGCACCACCTTCATCATCACTGTAAATCGATAGCAACCAGCTAAAATCCGCAATAGAAGATTGTAGAAGATTCGAAACCTTCTTGAAATCAGCAGCAGATGAAGTAATAGTCAAGAAAACATGGCGAAGAAGGCCAGTATGCTTGCATTTGCGAACTAGGGTTAACGCTCTTTCGAGATTCTTGGTGACATCAGCGGCGATGCGACGGATAGGGCGGTCGTAAATAGAGGAAGAAGACGACGGAGAGGAGACCAATCGGACGGCAGCACGGAGTTTGTGGGAGAGTTCGACGCAGTCGGAGCGAAGAGAAGACTCGGCTTCGCCGGCGGATTTGATGAGGCGGTCGGTGAGAAGGATGGGAAGAGCGAGTTGATCTTGGAGAGTTTTCTCGCGGTCGAGAGTGGAGAGAGTGGAATTTGCAGTGGAAGCCGCCATTATTGTTGGGGGGTTTCAGAGGGAGGAGAGAGAAAGATGATGGCGTAGATTATTTTTTATTTTTGGAAGGAATGTTTTTGTGTTTTGTGTATTAATATTTGGAAATAATCAAATAATGTTTGTTGAGTCTTGATAGTCCACGTGACTACATGAGTACTGATTTTTCCATTTTATATTGCTCTCATGTATCTATGTTTTATACTACAAATATAATAATAATAATAATTTCTTAAAAAAATTTAAATAACACTTCCTCCATTCATTTTTTACTTTGCTTGTTCTTTTATCATACTTATCAATGCACGCAAAAGTTTAACAATCAATAACTTTAATACTACCTCCGATTTTTTTAGTTGCAACTTTAGAATATTTTATATCTTATAAATAATACCCCAAAATTGCAACAAAAAAAAAAAATCAATGTTAGTTTTAATTAAAATAACACTTTCTCCGTTCTTTTTTACATTGTTGGTTTCTTTTATTACGCTTGTCAATGCAAAACATTAACGATCAATAACTTTAATTCTCCACAAGTGAAATTATATATAAAAGTGATACATTATAATAGTACTTATTGAGTTAAATTTTAAAAAGATTTCACATGAATATATTTTTTCTTAAATATTAGTCACAAAAGACGGTTAAAGGAAGGGTGTGAATAATGTAAAAGTTATAATTGATCAAGTAAAAAAGAACAAAAAAAAGTAATAATTATGATTAAAAAATAAATAAAAACTATAAAATTTTTAAGGGACAATATATAAATTCTAAAGATTATAAGTAGATGCTTAGAAAGAGAAATTAGGTTAAATAAAACATTGATCATACTAATTGTTGCTTATACATGTCGTAATACTATAGAAGGATAAATTAGGTTGAATAAAACATTAACCATATACGGAGTGTAATTCATTTTCTTATAATTACAAACTCCACGCATGGCATCAAAGCTGAAATTTTATAGTAATCCATTCTAAGATGAAAGGTTATATGGTTTATAGTTACCATTTTAAGATGAAAGGAGTATATATTACGAAGTATCTTAATTACTGGATTTCCTTATTGATATTATAGTAATCCATACAAATATACAATAATCACTTCACCAAACAGTAAGAAGTTTGTTCTAGTATAATATATTACTGTCACATATATAGTCCTAATATCTTGCATTAATTTCATAATTATTGGGAAAACGTTAAGATAAGCTAGATTCTTTCATTATGTTATAATCACTTCCAATTTGAGGTCTATTCTATAACAATTTACAATTATAGCTAGAAGTTGAACTACCCTAAAAAAATAAATGGCTTTATAATTTTTGTGGTCAATAACGTTGGATTGATCACATATGACATACATTATATATTCACAAAAGTTCATAATATATAAACCTATAATAATGAACAACATTTGGCTTTGGACGTAACATCATTAAATGACAAAAAATTGATAAAATATGTATGTTTTTATCATCTAGGGCTATTTCTCGGCAATTTCGGAGTCTCCAAATAGAATATGTCTAAATCACTTTGATTACATGCAAAATCATTTTCATGGGTAAAATTTTTTTATGCATGGGAGTAAAGGGGGGAAAAAATCTAATGCCCGATTTGAAAATAATCTACTCCTTTCATCTTAAAATGATGATAACTTCTCATGTCTACTTAGTACAGACCACTTCATATAAGCTAATGTTATTTACTACATTTTCAAAGATAAATCACTATCTCAATTTTAAAAGATTACATATTACTCTGCTTTATACGTCTTCTCGTTCACATGTTATCCATATAATTTAAACAATTTTTATGATATCTCACATCAAATTTCAATAAAAATAGAGATATAAATGTAAATCCACGATTTAATAAGTAATTCGATAATTCTATTATCCGGAGAATGATCATTTATTTTCGGACATTCTAAAACAAAAACATGCATGGTTGAGAAGGAGGGTTATTATTAAATTATTATAAAGTGTTCTACAATACATTTTTACGTATCCCACTTAACATAAAATAATTTACTTTTTAAATTTATCAAGTTAAAATTTGAAGTCTCTCTTATTAATCTTAATAATTAAAAAATAAATAAATTTCTTAATGAAGTACTTCAATAATGTCCAAAATTGTACTATCCTTTGTAATTTTAACTAAAAACCAAAAAAAAATGGGGATCCCGATCGATCAATCATGATTGAGCTGGCTAATCAATCCTACAAAAAAAGAGTTTGGCATATATTATTTACAGAAGAAGAAGAACATGCATATCCATTTATACACATAATTCTAAAATAATTTGGTCCTACGTTAGTTGCAATTATATTGGATTGCATCTAATTTTGTTGCACACTTACACTTGCAGTGTTGCACCTACCTATACGTGGACTGAGGAGGCACTTCTAAGTAGCAAACTTGGCCAACAAAATATATTTGTTTTATATTTTGTTCATTCTAAAGGTGTAACAATTCTAAACAATCACGGTATTGTATTGAATATATTACAATATAATGGTAGAGGACAATAGATTATTATATATATACAGAATTAGGATGTGATTAATAAACTTTAATTTTAACATAAGAATAATATTTTTGTTGTAAGCTTATTTTATTCAATGTTATATTAAAAGTTTGTTGTATAAATCTTATTTGAACTCAACCAAAACTTATTTTTTTGTACTTGTATTGATTTAATAGAATTAATAATCTGAACTTTTTAGAGTTGAGGACCTGTTCACATTTACTGAACTGAGCTGAGCTGAACTGAACTGAAGTGATTGGAGCTAAACTGAACTGAACTGAACTCAAATGAATATTTTATGAGAAGGGGAAATTAATTAGGAGTTGAATTGAACTAAACTGAACTGATTGGAGTTGAACTGAAATTAAGTAAATATGAACAGACCCTTACTCTAAACTTATCAAACTTATTAAAACTTAATTTTTTATTTGTAAATCAATGATCTTATTAGCTCTAGTTAGAATTAATTAACTTGTGAACTTTTATTTGACATTTTGGCACTCGATGTCTCGATCCGATCAAGTGGAAATTTAACAAATCAACCTCAGCTCGATGGAATGGACTAGGCCATGATGTATTCTTTAACTTCGAACAAACAATATTCAGAAAAAAGATTAATTTAATCGGTTAAATTCAATTTCATTCGTTAATGATAATCCTAATTAATTTTAACCAACAAAATAATTTCAATTCAGCAAAATACAGACGACGAAAATATGGCAGAACGAACACAAATGAATTGAAGAACCACAGGTATGACCGAGTTCATAGACTTTTCAGCATGGAAAAAAGTTTGTAAGAAGCCATCTAGTCAATCAAAAGATGAATGGGAACACGAAAAGCAAAAAAAAGAGAAAAGAAAAAGGGTTAGTTGTTGCTTAGAAATTACTACGTATAATACAATTCAAACATAGATCGTCAATAACAAAAGCAACAAATTGTATTATTAATACAGCTAATTCAATTAGACGTACCTTAGACCTTAGTTTTATGAGAAAATGACAGCTTTAATTTAACGAAGAAAAAGGATGATGACTGTCTTTAAAGTATTGCAAAAATTATGACGAATTTGCGTGGACTTGACTTTGTTAAACCATAAATGTAACCTTTGACATCATATATATCACGTGCCTTGACTTTTCTTAGTGTTAATTTTACACCTCACAAAAATTAGGTGGAACTACGTCTAGGATGGGAGCAACAGGCCAACAGTTAGTGAAGATTGAAGAAATAAATATAAGCATATAATATAAAGTAATATATGGAGTACTTAAAATAATTGTAAGCTTGTAGCAAGAGTAGCCACTAGCAACTTAGCAAGGTACTATAGTTTCATTAGTCAAGGTATTTCGCATAACTTATACAGTAACTTTATAAGCCTATAAGAGTATAAGGTACTCCGTAGTTTGGACAATAGAAGTAATTATAGCTTTTATAGGTACATCATACATTACACACCAAAAAAAAAAAAAAAAAAAAAAAAAAAAAAAAAAAAAGATAAAAATAAATAAATATTCGAATCATTTGGAGGTCCGAATTAAAATTACAAGTTTGATCGGGCTTGGACTCAAATTTTTCAGATTCAGATCCGAGTTTAGGGTCCGTATACTAAATGAATCGAATTCATATTTAGCTGCATCCAATCCAAATCCGTCACATTATCATTTACATGAAGATTGAAGACATCAATTGAACAAACGTAGGTGTAAATCACAAGAACGAAATTACGAAACCAAAGCAAGTGGGGAACACCCTAAACATTGACTCCTTCAAATCCAGACTAGGTACTCTAATGAGTCTAATCTATATTCTATATCAAGAAAATTAAAAACTTGTACAAAGCATTACGTCCAACAGTAAACTTATTGATAAAATTTAAGTACTCCGTACAACAGTAAGAAGGCATCGTACATTTTTCATACAACACTTGGGTAGTTGGGTGACATGGTTCATGACTTCATGCACTCATTTTTGTTAAACTGGAAAATCGATTAAGAAAAAATTCAAAAGAAAGGGACAACAAATTAAATTGTGGCCTCAAAACTCAAATGTTAAAGGAAGAAATGAAGAATATTCAACTTTATGAACAAGTAATGCATTTATTTTCAACAGCATGCAATCACTTATATTCACTAGATACCCATTTATGGGACTCACAAGAAGTCAACACCCATTTTTTCCACCAAAGTCAACTCATACAATACCAATTCAAGTTCTAGATCAGGATAATACATTCCTATCTTCTACGGAGTAGTTTATATTAATAGCTTAGCCGAGAATGAGTATTTGCTCTCATTTTGATAATTGTTTTTCATTAATCATCAAATGAAGAGTAAAACTAACAAATGTTAAGCTTGGCCACCTAAACCAGTAATAGAGCATATAAAGCAAATCTTATAAACGAAATTCAATCTCATATTTTAATTGTCACCTCAAAATTACTACTAACTAATTAATGTAAACAATGTTCAAAC